TTTACAAAACTGTTTCAGTTCAGCAATATTCTTGGGATGTCTGGTGTGAATCGCTCTCTTGAGGTCATGCCACAGCATCTCAATTGGGTTGAGGTCAGGACTCTGACTGGGCCACTCCAGAAGGCGTATCTTCTTCTGTTGAAGCCATTCTGTTGTTGATTTACTCCTGTGCTTTGGGCCTTGAGAATTCATTTTTCCCTCGATGATGGCAATCTGTCCAGGCCCTGAGGCAGCAAAGCAGCCCCAAACCATGATGCTCCCTCCACCATACTTCACAGTTGGGATGAGGTTTTGATGTTGGTGTTCTGTGCCTTTTTTTCTCCACACATAGCGTTGTGTGTTCCTTCCAAACAACTCAACTTTGGTTTCATCTGTCCACGGAATATTTTGCCAGTAGTGCTGTGGAACATCCAGGTGCTCTTTTGCAAACTTCAAACGTGCAGCAATGTTTTTTCTGGACAGCAGTGGCTTCCTCCATTTTATGACCAACTTATGCAGAAATCCAGGTAGTTCCAAAGGGTTCACATACTTTTTCTTGCAACTGTAGGCTCTGAATAACTCGTCCATACCTTGGAAAGAACATCCAGGGCTACGGCTTTTTGAGTGATCTGACCCAACAGTGTCCTAAAACAGTTTCCTTAAAATGGCTCCAGGCTGCAAGCTGAAATGTAATACTTCACATTGATTATCAATGGTTAGTCCCTGACTCACTTGTTTATTGTCAGTCTTGATAACACTGAATCGAAATGCAATGCGCTTTCCATTTTGATTAGTATAGTTATTCACATTTTGTAGCAACTATAGGGACAACACGGAATTTACCCAAATCTGTGCTAAGGATAATTTGGTAGTGCATTTGCCAACTTCTGGGCCATCATGGGGCAAATAGCTTTTTGGAGTCAGGCACTAGAGTAAGGCAGATTAATCAATGCTCGGTGAAGAGGGAATTCCTCTGGCACTTGTGCAATATCCTGCACAGCTTCCAAGATCCCAGCAGTATGAGAGCGATAATGTCTGTCTTAAGATCATTACTTTTCGCTACAGGGGGATGACTTTTGAACTTCTAAACTCAATAACTATCAAAGAAGTCTTCAGAAACTAGCTTTCAATAATCTCACATCAGTCTCTTCAGACTCTCTTGAGAAGTTACAGTAATTCGTTTAAGACATTAGTTTATATGCTGTGTCAAAACAATTCTGACACCATCATAGCATTGATAATCTTTCCTCTTTAGCAACTATTTGTAATCAAGCCAGCAAACAAACCAGCTGTTTCTCAATTTGTCTGAAATATGTCAATGGGGGACCTTAAGAGTTCACGCTGATTTAATTTACTTAGTGTTGTTTGTTTACTTTGGTCTGCATTGGGCTGCTTTATATAACATACAGTAATGGAAAGCACTATTTAGATCCTTTACAAAAGATAAAATAGTAAAATAATGATGGTAATATGTTTGAATACAATTAAAGTCCTGCTGTTCAAGTATTATAAAGAACTTATATCATCCACAACTTTTTTTGAAGAATGCCATTATTCAGTAGAATTGCACCTGTCAGTATTTGTTAGTAATTCTTCCTCCAAACTCCTGCAGCATTAGTTGGCTCTGCTTGACCTTTAAACCCTCTGTCGATGAGATGTTAACAGCATGTTTAACACGACATTCGCTCCTCCATCGTCTGCTATTTATAAGTCAGTTTTTTTATTCTCCTTTTAATCATGTATCTTAATCTGCATTTCTTACTGTATTCTTAAATCTCCTTTTATTCTGCTCCCACATTCCCTTGTTTCCTTTTCTTATCTGCTCGTCCTCCTTTTCTGTGTGTGCTCAGAGCAGCAGGGACGCTTGAGGAGGAGAGTTTGCTTAGCCCCAGGATTAAGTTGCTACTGGGGATTAAATGCAATGGAGACTAAATTCTTGTTGCATAACACTGTATGTGCGCGCGGTGGTTAAATATGGACCCATCTCAGTGGAGCTCTGCTGATTGCATTTGTGCCTGCAACTCCTTCAGATAGCCGCCACCCTTTGAGAGTGATCTAAACTGGATGTGGACATGATTTATGTGATTTGGGCTACTGTAATTAAGAAGTAAACAGCGTGCTCAATGTACTCCGAGTTTTCTTCATTATGTTCGGAGACTGTGGGCAGCGTTTGATCTGATTAAAATCCAGCCACGGGGATATTGTAGTAATCGCTCACGAAAAAAATAATAGGCCTCCAAAGAAACAAACCTCAAGTTTATTTAACAAGATATGTAGGGTATTAAAGCCCCATTTATTGTAATTATTGTAATGGATTATAATATAGTAACTGATTAATTAATACATATTAAAAATGCTCTTGAGCTGAAAACAAAAGTGCTGACTGTATAGGAATAAATCTCCAGTATTCACCTCTAAACTGTTTCTTGGTTCATCAAGTCACATTTAACAAATTGCATTTGCATTACTAATAAGATTTATCAGATACAAATAATGATAAATTATGAGCAGGCACTGTTTGATATCCCATCTTTCTTTCAGGCTTATCACCACTGTATAACTTAGCACCCACTTTAGCACAATATTGATCTTTACCACTCGTTGAATTTGCAAGCATTTTATTTTTGCCATATTTCATTCCACGCCCACATATACGACAAAAAGATAGGTATATGGGCAGTCCCTTACACTAATGATGTTACTTTACCCAGTTGATATATCAATTATAAATCTTCTAAGGGCTTTCCTTTTTACATTACTTACATTTCCGTTCAATAATTATTAGAATAAGAGAAAAACCGGTCTGTTACTACTGACATGGTTTCTTGTAATGTTTTTAGAAGCTCACTTGCAATGTAAAAAACAAGTTTGATTTAATCCTTCTAAAATGTATTGTAAGCATCTTCACGCTCGTCTTTGTTAGCTACCTTATTGGCTCGAAGTCAGCACATACACTGCCCACACACTGTAGCTCCAGAGGGGCCTATCCAAAGTTAACCCTTGTGTTGGCCTGTGTTTCTGCTACATGATTAAATTGAAATCACATATGCCAAAATAGCTACAGTAATGCTTCCCACAGAGGGAAATAGGAGATCATTGAGGAAATAACTGTCTGCAAATATGTGCCTTTGGAGAGGAAATAATGGATCAGGGAGTTCGACTTAGACAATATTATGAGACAAGTAGCAGTTAGCACACGATAATATCTGTGTGTAAAACCTTGTTTAATCATTTGAATTTTGGTGCTTTAAATGCTGTGGATAGAGTTTTCTGAGCCAGAAATATAAATTGGCAAGAGGTTTTGACCTTGACCGTGGGACAGTACAGTACAGTAGATTGGGTGTAGGTAATCGCTGTACAGACTAATTTATAGCCGGATTAAGAGGCTTCAGTCTCAATTTCTGTGCTTCTCAGTGATCTTACTCGTGAAAAAAGAGTACCTTTGAGATGTGACATTACTCAATAAAATGTTGCTTGATGTATCTGCAAATTCTATGTCAAATAACTCTGGCAACACTTCAAATTTGTATGTTTACATTGTGAACAAGGACGTTTAAATACAGATCAAATCAAAAACTATGCAGGCGGATATTAAATGTATCGTTTGCGGTTAAAAAATGAAGCCCCAGATGTTTGAGTTATTACCTGCGTGTTCAGCACTTACCCAACATCCACATCTGTCTTTATGATTTAGTTTGCCTGTCCTCCAACACATGGACAAGGTTATTAATTACAAAGTAGGCTCCAGTGCTGTCCTGTTTAATGTACATACCTCTATTTTTGTACTTTTATGATGTGCTGAGTTGGACAAGTTGCTAAGTAGTTGCTCATTTTGGTAAGGTAATTAATCATACACATTTCAAAGCTGAACATGCTGTTACTAACAAAACATGTATAGCTTATTTAGAATTTACCAGCATCTTGACCGGAATAATATGCGCATTGCAAGCTTTTTTTCTAATGTTGTACAGTGTTTACAAAGCATCTTCGTAAACCTGGGACAGAGAGATCTGACCTGAACTTTGAGAGGAACACATGCCCCATGCTTCACATTAAAGTGTAGACAATGGCATGCATGTGGTTCAAATGAGGGGAACACAGCTCAAAATAACTACTACAAAGCAGTTGTAGCCTGTAGTAGGGCTCCAATGATGATAGTTTAAGTGGTGTTTATTCCTTTTCAGGAATTGTGGAAAGAAAATGTGGAAAGACAATTTACACAACGCTGTCTTACAAAAGAGCATTTGAATATGAAGCATACATTCATCATGAAAACGCCCTAGTCTGCTACCTCAGATGTCCCCTCCGACAACATAAACTAAGGCATGTGTCACTTTGCAGAAGTCTGTTAGCCATCACGCTAGGGAACATCCTAAAATATGTGTGGACGGCCACTATCTTGTCAGTGTAATATCATTACATTACAGAGAGAGATGCACTGTAAGCAACTCCAGGCAGACGTTGTAGTGCTACTGTGCTATTTTTAAAAGCAGAGCCCTGAAATCATTAGCATTGTTCCTTGCAAGCAAAGTTCATCCTCTACTTTTAATAGCCAGCACTCTAGAGTATGTACAAGAGACACACTGTAAATTAGTTTTGATTGGCTTTAACAACATCATTTTATTGTGCAATTTGCACAATTCCTCTCTTCTAGCAACTGGTGGTCTTTGAATTGATTACTGCATGTGGGACAGTGAAACAATTATCATTTTTTACAGCTTGCCTGATTTTAAATTGTAGATCTTTGAAGAGAATGGCAGAAGACTAATGACATGTGTGTCAAAATTATAATCAGCAGTTGAGCTTTTAAAATGGTCTATTCCAGACAGTTTACAAGAAATGTGTATGTTTGTTAGGGGGATCAAATAAAAGGGCATGTGTTGGGTAATTCAATCCACACATTAAAGATACTTTGACTGCATCCGTATGCTATTCTGTCCACTGAAATGACACATTTTTGAAGTTATTTTGAATGTCTACACTTTAATGATTTATATATGCGTAAGCCAAAGCTACTGGCCAATTGAAACATTCATACACAGAAATGTATTCAGCATCTTTAGGGTGACATCTGTGAGACCACAAAATGACATTTAGCAGCCCCCCTTTAGAGATATCTGCACTCTGTCACATTGTGAAAACACCAGCCCACATGCAGGCTACAGTCTGCCGTCAGTGTGTGAGTCGCAGACATGTGAGTTGGACAGGACAGAGTTTGATGACTAACCCTCTTCACACCCTCCACTGCCACCCAACACTCTGGGCAAAACCTTAAAGTTCCTGCTCTTCTCTGACGCAGATAGATAGTGATTAGTTCCTCAAAGGCTGGTGAACCCTTTTAAGACACTAGAGTTTTCAACAAAAGTAACCTTTTCCTTCCAGGACCTGTCGTCATGTTTGAATGAAACATGATTAATAAATGCAAAAAACTAAAAAATATATAAAAACAGTGAAAATAACCTCTGCCAAACTTGAAACCTGAAATTTGAAATGAAAACACTCATAAGGAATTATAAGTTAAAATGCAATTAAGGTGGATCTTTTTCCGTTTTTAAAAAGAGGAGGAAACCATTCGATTTTTTTCAGAAAATAGCATCTAGCTTTAGGCCTCTGGTGAGGTTGCGTTCCCCATGGCAGGGTATAACTGACACCTGATGGCCAGCGTTGCCCTGTAGTCCACACATGTTGATACAAGACGTGAGATAACCTCAACACTCAGTATACTGATCTGTGTTTGGACTGATGACAGTGTCACTTACATGCAGAGTCACTGAGTCCGATATGGAGCGTTTAAATCACAGATGGGACTAACAGCAAAAGAGGCGGCTAAAACAACATTAGTCTCCCAGCTGGTTAACTGCTTGTGTGACAGTAGAGATATTAGGAACTATGTTTAGTGCCCGCCTACACATATATTAGACCAATTGTATTACAGCATCTTCCGTCGTTACCAACAATGTAAGCCAACTGGAGAATATTAATGTAGGAGGTGGTATCACTGCAGAAAAGCAAATTCTTATTAACATTTCTTATTGATGTTAACATCAAGTTCTCTCAGTATTGTGTACTAACAATCAAAAGGGAGTACAAGTTGACCTGGAGAGGGGGGGAGAGGCCTTGATATTTGCAATATATGGCTGTTCATCAGCTCCTTACAGGACATGTCTCCACCTTGATTCCCATGAGAATGCTCTCGCTTCTATTTTTAAGTCGCTCTGCCTGACTGCACTGCCAGTCTCTGCACACTGTCTTTCTCTCTCTCTCTCTTTTTGCTGCTGCAGATCATTAAATTGAATGTTTTATGTTAAATCATTATGCAAAGAGAATGTTCAAATTTACTTTAGCTTAGACTCTTTAAGCATCATTTTAAATACATTCCTGAGAGCTAATCTGATGAGGCATCCAATAATCTTTTTTTCCCTTTATAGACGCTGCTATAAATAACCTGCATTGACTGAAACGCTTCTTTTTTTATCTCTCCGTCACAGCATCCTGTTTGCAGATATAGTGGGTTTCACCTGCCTGGCCTCTCAGTGCACAGCGCAGGAACTGGTTAAACTGCTAAATGAGCTTTTTGGAAAATTTGATGAGCTCGCCACGGTGAGTCTGTTTCCCTTCCTTGAACGCACAGTCCCTCAATCACAGCCCCTGTTTGCATAAAAAGCAGATATTTTTTTCTTTCTTTTCTTTCTCCTTCTTTTAAAGCCAAACTTTAACACAATATAAATGTATGGCATTGTGTGTGTTTCCTAGCACATGCCACCATCTTAGATGTCCCAAATGATGCTTAATATGATTATCCAGTGCTTCGTTTAGAGAAGAGTTGACAGACCTCTTTAATCTATGCCAGATTTAGCTAGGGCTAAACTCTGGTTGTGTGAATGAACTGAATGAAGTTGTACTTGTCCCAATCTCCCTGGGTTCGCATGCAGAAAAGATTTCAGCTCTCCCATCTGTCAATATATCACTCTTTGTGATTTCAGTGCTGAAAATCCGCTCAACTTTTGCTGTGAATTTGACGGCTGCCGTTAATCTAGTCTCTTTCAAATGCGACGCTGGCAGTGCTGGTGTTACAACATCTTTCAATCAAAGCACCACAGGTACCTTGAAATGCTTTTATTCATAATATGCTGATCAAAATAAAAGCACATGGTCAAAAGAGGGATGATATTGCTCAATCTCCGACACATAGTGTTTTTGTTGGTTGGTGAGAAGATTGAGCCCCTGAGCTCCTGCAGATCACCCCACTGCTGCTATATCTACATGTAATCTGGCCTCTATAATTTACACTAGGCACATGCCTTCGTGAAATCCGTTAATCCACGGGATTACAACTAACCCTTTTCTGCTTTCATAGAAGGTTTTACTTGGCCATGTTGGGAGCTTCTATTTTTAACCTGTTTGTTGACATGCACAAAATTAGAAGCAACTAAAAAGAGAGTGTCTCTCACTCGACTTATTTCTGTCAAATAAATGTCATTGCCTTTCCAATTAGTTCTGTATCAGTGACTCTACCTGGCAGACACACACACACACACACACACACACACACACACACACACACACACACACACACACACACACACACACACACACGCACACAGAAGCCCACTGGCAAACTCTCAGTTACAAGTCAAGTCACGTGAACCAGTTGATAGATTTAATGTTTCACAGATGCTACAATTCATTAAGCTTCAAAACCACATTTTGTATCTTCTAGTTTGGCTAGAAGAAATGCATTCTTGAGCTATGTCAATTCTATTGCCGTGGTGATTTATTTTCATTCTTTGGGTCAAAACTCAGTAGATTGGTCTGATCTCCACTTGGCTGCTACCTACTCTGAGCTTTGTGTTACCATGAAAAGCTGTCCCCAGCCATGGAACTTGTTATCAAATGCTCCATCCTTGCCCTGACCCAAAGCCACACTCATTCTGATCCACTTTGGCAGGAAGTGGCATTGCCAGTGAGTCATAGCTGTGGTCACTGTCGGCACACAGACTCCTCTCGTTCCATACGAAGAGCGGGCGATGCCACATGGCCACTGGGCATCATCTCATAATACCATTCCAGCACCATCCCCACACCACCTGTCCACTCTTTGGACTTGTCAAGTTGCATGGGAAGATGGCCAGGAACGCAGTGTACTCCTAAAGTGCTGTTATAGTCGACTAAGTCTTCTCACCTCTCTCTCTCCTCTCTCTTTCTCTCCTGAAGGCACTCAGACAATGTTTTTACATAAATGAAGATACACCTTATCACCTTAGTTAGCTAACAGACACATACCAGCTCTTGAATAATAATCACTTTCACACTTGATCTTAGGCATATGATAAAAATAGACCTTTTGTGTTTGAGCATTAGAAACAGTTAGCCACTTTTGAACTTAGGTATTTTTAAACATTGCAATTTCATGTGAACACTTGCGATTTTTCTCCTCCTACAGTATATTCTCAGTCTATTCTATGAAGCTGAGAACAAGCAGTTAAAAAAATAACTTTGAATTGTATCTTCCTATAAAGTCTATACATATGTGTTAACAACAGTTGCCTAAGTATTTACACATCCAGCAGACATGTAGCAACATTAGCATTTATTAAGAGTCTGGTGTTTGGCCCCCTGGCAAATAAAAGCTCTATTTTGGTCTTTACCCCCTGAGGGAAGCATATGGCTGTTTAGTTTCTAAATGATCTACTGTGTGCTCCAGCCATTCAGTAACCTAGCCTGGCTGCTGTTTGGTGCTGTTCTGGTAGCATTAAACGTGGGGTAGGTAATTTAGGAGAAACCAGTTCGAGTGCGCTAGAATTTGAAAATACACAACTGGAGAAAATCTGCCACTTCCTTACAGAGCCCCTCCTCCAACACACACGAACGCACACATGACCAATGAGGGCACGAGATAAGTTTGTGCATAGATGGAAGGCTGACGGGCCAACCCAGTCTCATGGCATTTCGTGTTCACCAACACGATTTTTAATCTATTGATTCGTGTTCACCAACACGATTTTCCCCTTTTTTTCGTGTTGCACAGCACGATTTTAAAAGCAATGTATTTCTACTGGTAATGTGTTTCGTGCCTGCAGCACGTCTTTTTCTCCGGTCGGGTCGTGGAAGACCGGAAGCTGTGTGGTTCATAAAAACATGTTCTTACCCAATATCAAGCCACAATTATTGCTTTTATTTTAAATCGTATAATTTCGGACTTTTGTTTCCGTCTGTGAGGAAAATAAATGGGGCTCAGCTCAGAGCCTCAGAACACTGAAATCTGTATTTTTAAAATCTTTTTTTCTTCTAATTTGTTATTATTTTCAAAATAACACACTGTTATTTACTCACCAATAACACACAATTATCCTTGCTTTTATTTATTGGTTTAATTCCATAATCTCGGGCTTTTTTGGCGTCCTTCAGGAACTGAATTTCAAAATAAAAATAACCGGAAACAGACGTAGGCATTTCGAGCGATTACCCAAGATCCTCAGCTATGGTTTAAGCTCGCTGATTGGATGGTTTAGCCGCAATGCATGCTGGGATTTGGTGTTTATATGATATGAAATCCGGAAAACATTTTAAAAGAATAAAATAATACTTAATTCCGAGTGTTCTTGCTTTTCTCTTTGAAAGTCATCACATAACGGCATTGTAATACACGGTTCGGCTGCATTACATATTACAGATCTGCCGTAGTTCTTTATTTATAGAGCCCTGATGAGAAGACCTTTGGAAAAACTGGAAGAAATTCCGCCGAAACTGAATACTTAACGTGGATCATAAATATATCAACAATTAAACAACATCTTCAATTTCTCTTCACACAATACGTCTCCTTGCAGTATCAACCTTAATTCGGCTGACTTTTACATTTGATCTAATTCGTAGATAGGTTATATTTACACCATAACGGTGCACAGCTGATGGCTGAGTACATTTAAGAGTACATACTTTCATAGGGGAAAGTAGAAGGTCTGTGATAGAAATATAGAATATAAAAATTCAAGAAGATACTGTAAGTGATCTCTACAATAAAACAGTTAGTGCCAGATGTACAAAGATATTAATAGGAGGAT